AGGTGCCTTAGACCACTGAGCCATCTCTCCAGCCCCTGTACATTGCTCTTTAATGTATACTTTGGGTTTTTCATACAAGAAAAACATATGATTTTTAAACTTATGTGTTTGATTTATTTCACTTAATATTATGGTCTCAAGTTGCACCAGTTTCCTGAAAACAACAGTTTTTCCTTCTTTTTAACAGAATCATACTCCATTTTGTATAAATACCAAATTTTCTTTATCCTTTTATCTGTTGGTATACATAAATCTTAGAAGTGACCTATATGTAGATAGATATTCTGCAAAGGAAGCAAGATAGGAAAGAATAAAAATAATGCTCACACAGAAGAAATTTTTCTTGTGATTTTCAATGTGTAATTTACTACCAGGATCTACAGTTTTGGAGCAGTTCCACATTGAAACATATCCCCCTCCCCACTCTGTAGATAAAGAAAGCAAATTCAGACCCCAGATCCATGCTGGGCACAGGTACCAGCAGGCAGTTGTATTAGGGCAAGTCCACCAGTGCCACAAACTTTCAAGTCCAGAATAACTCAAGCTGAGCCTGGCCTCTGCCTGTGGGGGTAGGGTCTGTGTCTTTTAGCTTAGACCCCTCAGGGTGATTCTTTCCATCCCACTTCGTGGTGGCGATGGCTGTCTCCTGTGGCTCTTATCTTACCCAGTCACTGTGGAAACACTGGGAGCCCTAAAGTGAAGCAATTCCTTGGCTTCTCTAAGTCTTGAGTTCAAACAGTCAACCCTTCTGCAGCCTGATTCCCACCAAGTACTCTCTCCAGGGATATGGTAAGCTCTTGAACTGAAGTCACTAGGCAACTATTGCCTGTTGAAGGATTCATTGGAAATAGAATCCCACCCTCTCCCTGCAGGGCACTTACCTACTAGTTTGTTCTCTTAACTGCATTTTGCCTAGAAGCCCCCTGGAGTTTCCAGCTTTCACTTTGTCTCTTCAGATGCAGTCTCCTTTTCCCACTTGGCATGAACCGGGGTCTAAGGAAGAAATCTAGACTGTTCCTTCCCATTTCACTTTTGTGTTCTGTCTCTGCAATTTCTCTGTAGATTTTAGTTTTCCTGTCAGATCTTTTCTGATTCCTCTTCAGAAAGCTCTTCTTGCACTCTCTCTCCTCTCCCTTCCTTCCTTCTCCCTTCCTCCCCCCTCCTTGTCTCTCTCTTCCCTCTTCCTTTCACTCTTCCTCCCTTCCTCTTTCCCTCCATTCCTCTCTCTTCCTTTGTCCCTTCTTGTTATTTCCCAATATCTGTATCCCAGATCTCAGAGACTGCATTGTGGTTTTTGGTTTTTTTTTTTTTAATTTTTGTTTATGTTTTTTGACTGAGAAAAAAAAGTATATATTTAGAATTAGCCAGCTGGACTCAGTTTAGATGATATTTTTGTTGGCAACATCCAATGCATCACAATCAGGAGCCAGTCAAACATATGCCTTCTTCTCTCCATCAGGCCTGATTAGGGTATTGACCTTGGCAACATCGATGTCATAGAGCTTCTTTACAGCTTGTTTGATTTGATGCTTATTGGCTTTGACATCCACAATGAACACAAATGTATTGTTGTCCTTGATCTTTTTCATCGCTGAATCTGTGATCAGGGGTAACTTGATGATGGCATAGCGGTCAAGCTTGTTTCTCCTGGGGACAGTCTTCCAAGGGTATTTGGGCCGCCTCCAGAGTGTCTTGGGATGGCGGAAGGTGGGCGATGTTCTTATCTTTTTCTTTTTGTAGCTGTGGATGCCTTTCAGCCTGGCCTTTTTGTCCTTTAAAGCTTTTGCTTTGGCTTCAGCTTTGGAAGGGGCAGGGGCTTCTTTCTTTGCCTTCGGCACCATCTTGGTAAAAAGCAAGACTGAAGAAAAAAAAAAAAAAAAAAAAAAAGCAAGACTGCATTGTTGTTGCTTACTACTTTGACTTTTTCCTAACTGGATATTGACATACCACAACTAATAAGAGCAACTGCTATATGACCCTTCAAAGCAGAAAATAATCCGTAATGTTACTATAGATATAAATGCAAACTGAATATTGACATACAGTAAGTATTTACTAAATGTGCTATTAAAATATTAAAGAATTCAACAATAATAGCATAGAGTCAATAGCTAAAGATAAAGCTTCATGGTAATACTAGTAAAGAGAAGGTGCTAAAAAATAGGAAGATGAATGACACTAAGTTTTCAGAAGGCAATTTTTAAAAGAAAGATGACAACAGAAATGAGATAAAGGATCTGATTTAAGAGTAAAAAAATTATATTATTAGGGGCCAGGGAGATAGCTTATAGAATAAGTACTTGCCTGGGAAGCTCAAGGTCCTGAGTTCAATCCCTGGTACCACAATAAATAAATAAATATTCCATTATCTGATAACTATAACAGATAAGAACATAGAAAAAGATAAAATAGCAAAATAGAGAAATGAATTACAAAAAGGAAAAATCTAATTCCTACCCCCCCAAAAAACAAGTAAATGAGAAATGATTCAAAACAAATTTCTCCATGTTTTCAAATGCGTGGCTTTTTTTTTAGGTCGGCATTGTTGGAATCCAGCAGATGGGGGAAGGGATAGTGAGGCACTACTTAGACCCATTTTGCTTCCATACTCACATTTTGGTGTGTGGATGATGAATCCTGTCCTGCTTTTCTTGTTGGACATGGCCAGCTGTCAATCGTGTTCACCCTATGCCTGTATTTACTTCAGTTGCTCCCAGTTTCTGTGTCCCTCTAGTACCCTAATCATGTTTTTTTCCACCTACATTTAGAACCTGTGGATTTGTGAGGCGCACCACCTGGTCCAGAGGCCCCTTCACTGTACACACCCTACACTGTAGCAGCCCTCCAAACTGAGGCATATCACTGATCACAATTGGCGCATGAGGAAAGCAGACAACTGAGCTGTGTTGGATGTAGGCTGCTAAGGATGGAAAGGAGTCAGGCAGTCCATTAGACTTAATGCCAGACCTTTCAGACATAGCCTGCCCCCAAAGCCATGCACGTCTGGATTTGCTTCTCAACTCAGAGAAGATCAAGACCCCTGTGTCCTTCCTAGCCTAAGCTTAAACTTCAGAGGGGTGTGGGGGAGACTAGCCCCCATACAGTTGCTGTGATAGGGTGGGCCTCAGAAACCCTTAAGTGTAGTTGTTCTGTAGCTCATTTTAAAACCGCCTCTTTCCAAAATAGCTGTTAAATACTCTCAAATATGGTGGGCACTACACTGGATTTCTTCTTCAGCTCTACTCTGCCATGTGGAAAGAATCATTTTCAGAGTAAAAAACTGCATGCTGTTTGTTTGTTTGTTGCTTTTTAATTTTTTGGTGCTGCAGAATTGAACCCAGGACCTCCCACTTGCTAGATAAGTGTACTGCTACTGAATTAAATCCCTAGGCCTCACCACCACCATCACTGTTTTTGCACTCTATAATAGCCACAATTTTGCCTTGGAACTGGTGCTGCTATCCTTGTCTGCTTTTCTGTGGAGCTACTGATCCTTTCCTGACTTACCTTGTGTTAGCAGCAACATGTTTCCCTGCTCCATTAGCTGGGGTTATTGTTCAGCCTGCTTTGTTCTTTTCTGTTTTACTGCATATCTCTAGCTTCTCTGTAGTTTCTAGTTGTCCTGTCACTGTCTCCCAATTTGTGGAGATCTATTTAGTCTCCCAATTTGTGGAGATCTATTTATTTTCTATATCAGGTGGTTGTTCTCCGGGTGCTTAATTTCAGGTCCCAGAGAGATTGCATTCTGCTTTCTTTTTCTGTTAGAGACTAGATCTTTCCAAGTAGTTCAGGCTGCCTCCTTTTCTGTTTTTTGATTTATTTTATATTTTTTATTTTTAGAGAAGGGTCTACAGGGTGTTCAGGGTCTCACCACTAGATAGAACTCATAGTGATCTACCTGTTTACAGCCTCCTAAGAGCTGGAATTACAGGCGCATGCCACCACACCCAGTCTCAATTACCCTCTCAGCGTGCCCCAGGGGCAGGCCCAGGGATCAAACCCCTATCCCCTGAGCCTGCTTGCAGGTGTTTTAATCCACTGAGCTATTTGGCCAGCCCTCTTTAAAAAAAAAAAAAAAAAAAAAAAAATTCAGGGGTTTTGTTTGTTTGTTTGTTTTTCGAAGCCGGGGATTGAACTTAGGCCCTTGCGCTTGCCAGGGAAGCACTTATTCTACTGAGCCATCTCCCCGACTCCTCTTTTTTTGAAGGGGATGTTTGTTCTGTTTTTTAGTCAAGGTTTTGCTATATTGGCCAGGCTGGACTCAAACTCCTGGACTTAAGCAGTTTCCTGCCTTAGCCTCTCAAGTCATTGGGACTACAGTAGTGTTTACCACACTCAGCTACAAAAATTATTTAAGTGAATGGAATCTGAACATTTAGGATGCTTTCCCTTCAAATTACAAGGTGGAACTATAAGTTTAAGAAATATACATGATCTTTTGCCATAATTATTATATTATTAGCATAACTCTGTTAACCACATTATATACATGAATTTCAAAACTTCATTGTGTGTTTTATTCATTCCTCTTATCTCTACAGCACTTCATAGCAACTGAAGTACTCAAATTGTTCAGTCTTAAAAAAGAGACAAATCACAAAACAGATTGGCAGAAAATGATGAAATTTGGAAGAAAGAAAAGAGACCGAGTGGATCATATCCTGGTCAGTGTATATATCCAAACAATTTTTATTTTGACCTCTAAAATCAGCATAGATAAATTCCAAAAAAGAAAAGGATAATTGATTCTTTTTAAGTATATGAGATTACAGTTTTAAATCTTTACTTGCTGTGTTTCTACTCCTCAGTAAAAATTGCTTTATTTTATGCAGCTGAGTATTTATTTAACTTAGTATTTTAGGGAAAGCTTGAGAAATCAAGACTTGAGTGTAAATAATTTAACATAGTGAATTGAAAAAGAGACCAATGTGAATTTTTGAGCCAGACTACTTAAACTTAGAATTTGTTTTGATAGTTGGTGCATAATATCGGACAAGTTCATCTGCCCTTTTTGGGGGGCCATGTTTCTCTATGCGGAAAATCAAAATGATGATAAGTAAGTCTGATAAAATTATTAAGGTGGTTAAATGAGTATTTATTTTTTTTGGCTGGCTCAGAATGCCTTCAGGGCCTGTTTGGCTGGCTGGAGTTGTGGGGATCGAACCACAGCAACCTGAGGCTGACTGCTTTGTTGAAGCAGCCACTTAAACAACTGAGCTAAGAGGCAGGCCCCTAAATGAATATTTATATATGGTCATGCACTGCTTAATGATAGAGGTTCCTACATTGTACAAAACATCATGGGCTGTACTACATAAACCTAGATGGTATAATTGGTCACTTGTTAGAGCCTCTTGACGTAAGCAAGAGATGAAAAACAAGATGTATGAGGCTACTATGGGCATAATATGGCATACTGTTATACAGCCAACTTTTTTCTTTAATAAGTAGTAGGAAATATGTTCTAAATAATGCCTTCAAAATAATTAGTAGATAAACCTTATTGTCATTATTTAGTGTTATATATTGAATGTAATTGTGCTATACTTTTGGACAACTGGCAGTGCAGTAGGTTTGTTTATAACAAATCATGATCACATGAGTAGTAGGGCTATGCTACGAAACTTTGTGGAGGACCATAATGTCACTAATTGGTAGGAATTTTTCAGCTCCATTGTAATCTTATGTGACCACCATGGTATATGTTGTCTGTTTTGGACTAATCATAATGCAAGGTATGAACGTGTAAAACCCTTAGAATAGTTCATAACAGTTCCTCATATATAACTGAACACATATTAGCTATTACCACATTGTCATCATCATCTTCATCTAGAATTTAAGTTGGATAAGACCTACTTGATTTTTCAGTATATTTCCTAACATTAGAAAATGTTTATTAAAAGAAAAGAAGAAACTGTTATCCTTTCTTCCCAAAAAAGAGTGTTAAAAGAAAACTGAGATGTTATTTTTCAGGTTTATCTCCGTGTAAATCCTAAATTTATCAGCTTTTCCCATGTGTGTAGTTCTCTAGTACTTCATTTACTCAGTAATAGCCACACTAAATAGCATTTATTTGGCATTTTACATTACAGTGTAATCATTGTTTCTCATGTCTTACTTGAGCCTCACAGTAATTATGAGATAGGAACATCTAATGTTATTCTGTAATTTTTTTTTTCTTTTTTTTTTGGCGGAACCCGGAATTGAACTCAGGCCCTTGCACTTGCCAGGGAAGCACTTATTCCACTGAGCCATCTCCCTGGCCCCAAAAGGTTTTCATTTTATTTTATTTTATTTGCGGTACACTGGGGGATTGAACTCAGGACCCTGCACTTGCCAGGCAAGCGCTTATTCTACTGAGCTGTCTCCCCAGCCCCGTTATTCTGTATTTTACAAATGAAAAATTTAGATTCAGTGTTAAGTGACTTGCCCAGTAAATAAGAACCAAGATTTGACCCATTAATTCATAGATCTTTCTCAAGAAGATGAATTTATTTCCTATGTCTACAGTGTTTAAAGTTTATTAATTGACAAGTATGACATCCTTTATTTCTTAAAGATTAAGGGAAAAAAAGCATGTTAAGGGTCATTCATCTAACCTATTAATTAAATTGATCATATCCCTTATAAATCCTCTCTATACACTGGGTCAGGAATTATGCTAATTAAAGACTGATGTTTAAATGGGAAGCAAAGCAGACATAGTCTGTGCCTTCTTGGGTTTCCACTTGGCTGGCAAAAACTAACCTATAGTATGTAATTTACACATGCATATAATTATAAATTAAGCAAAAAAAAAAAAATAGAATAGAGGAAACTGTTATAAAAGCTTAAGCCAGGGGAAACTGATCTAGGACAGGCTTTTCTGAGATCAAAGTAACATTTGATTTTACATCTTAAAGATGAAAAAATATTAACTAAACTCTGATAGAATGATTCAGGGAGAGTAAACTACATGTGCAGAGAACCTCTAATGAAAAGGTACATGGGTTTGACCTCAAATGTCAGTGTTGGAGGAAGTGGCATAAAATAAACTGAAAATGGTAACTTTTGAATTTTGCAGTGCTTTTTAAACAATATAAAGGATTTTGAATTTTGTCTTAAAAAGCAAGGAGTTTAAGCAAGAGAAATTAGATTCATAGTTTTAAAAAATGATGGAAGAAGAGGGGCTGGGGAAATGGCTCAGTAGAATAAATGCCTGCCTGGCAAGCACAAGGGCCTAAGTTCAATCCCCAGTTCTGGGAAAAAAAAAAAAAGGTCTTTGATTTGGGACTGGGGAGATGGCTTGGTAGAATAAGTGCTTCCCTGAGTTCATTCCCCGGTTCCGCCAAAAAAAAAATGATGGAAGATCCCAGTCATGAGGTAGGGGACTTCAGGTTCAGGTCTCACCAACACAGTTTAGCAAGACACTGTCTCAAAACAAACAGATGGGTGGGTGGATGGGTGGATGGGTGGATGGGTGGATGGGTGGATGGGTGGATGGGTGGATGGGTGGATGGGTGGATGGAGTGAGTGAGTCTTAGTTACTTTTTTTGTAGCTAAGACAAAATACCTGTTCTGGACCATGATGCTTTAGGGTTCTCTTCTCAATGCAAAGTCTTTCATCTTTGTAACTTTGAGTCTGAAAATGGTGGAGTGCCCTGTGATATACTCAGAACATCTTTTCTGTTGTCTAATTCCTTTTCAGCCACCAAGTTTTCTCTTGGCCATCTTTGTAGTCTGCAGCTTTACTGGAACATTCTTTCTGGCCAAACTAAAAACATTTTAAATCATTTCTCTGGGCCTTTTGCTCTTTGTTTCTCAACATAGATCTGGCTAAAAGTTCTCAACAGTAGCCATATCACTGATTCAGAATTAGCCTGCCTTGAAATTTCTTTTGTTAGATTAATCCATCTGCTGTACAATCACAGTCTCAAGCAGAATCTCTGGATAAAAGCAAAACACAGAAAAAAAATTTGCTAAAACATAACTCACATGCAAATCTAGTATCTCATGCAGTCCTTCCAACAGAAACCTCATGAGTCTGGTCTTTACCAGCAGCATTGCTATCAGCATTCTGGTCTCTGAACTCTGACCAGACTCTTCCATCAAGTTCAGCTTGCACCATTGCAGGGCTGTTTTCTCCGCTGACATCTTCAAACCTTTTCAAACTTTCCATAGCTAGTCACAAAGGGCTCTGATCTACATGGTCGGATAGCATCATAATAACAGTTCCACTTCTGGTAACAAAATCTGTCTATCTTAATTTTCTCATTGCTGAGACAAAATACCTGGCACCTAAAGTTAAAGGAGGAAAGGTTTACTTTAGCTCAATTTGTAGAGGTTTCAGTCAGTCTGTTGATTCAAAGTCAGGGTGACATGGTAAAGGGCCATCACAGAGGAAAAATAGTTCATGGTATGCCAGGCAGAAGACAGTGAAGCATCAAACAGCAGCAGCAGCCTGCCTTTCCCTTTCATCCTATCCAGGCTACTAGCCTTTTGAGTGTGCCACCCAGAACTATGCTAATTCCAGTCAAGAAACTAATTTGCTTCTGTGTATCTAATTCCCAGTATTTCTAGTGCACTCTGAAAAGCCCCACCTATGAGGACATGAGATTTTGGGGGGACATCTAGATTCAAGCAGTGATTAGTAGGTAGGTGGGTAGACAGATGGACAGATGGATATACAGAGTATAGTTCATTGGTAGAACACCCCTGGGTTCAATCCCCAGTACCCACCCCCCAAAATCATGGAGGAATAAAGACAGCTATGCATGAATTGTAGGTGTAATATGGCTGTTTTGGTATATGTAAGAAAAATGGCTTACCTAAATTTCTGTTGAGCACAAGTCAGTGGTAACTAGGATAGGTAGTATACAAATGAATAAGTTAGAGAACAAAGACATAATACATGAAACTTAACTAGTTACAGCCTGCTACTTCACGTGGTTACAAAGATGTCATTCTTAGTATTAGAAGAATTAAATATATTGGAGGAAGGGCAATTTGAAGCCATCTTCAGTCCTAAATTATCAATATAGACTAGAAAGTAATATGTTTGACAAGTAATTAATAAGCAAAATGATTTGTAACTCTTGTAAATGTACCAAAAAATAAAATACTGTACCCTGACATCAGATGCTTACCTTGACCAAGTAAAATTAGTTAAGTAAGCATAGACCCCTCCAATAGTCATCAGAAAATTCTGAAATATTAAGCAAAAGATTTCATTTGCAAATGGAAGGTTATTAGAGTTTAAGTGAGATTATGAGACTGAGCGTGGTGGCATACCTGTAATCCCAGCTCTTGGGAGGCTGTAAACAGGCAGATCACTATGAGTCCAATCTAGTAGTGAAAACCTGAACACCCTGTAGACCTTTCTCTAAAATACAAAAAAAAGAAAAAAAAAAGTGAGTTTGTGTCTGTGGGTAAAAAGAGATTTAGCAATTGGCTGGTTGTAAAATATTTTTTAATTTCTTATAGGAAACCTGACCCATGTATGTAATGTTATAAGTGAGCTTTACTCTTTTTAATGTTTAATGAAATCATAATGTTAACCTCTGAGCTAATTAACAAGAAATGCTAAGTAATTGTCTGTTTGATTTGGCCAATCTGACATTTGCAAATTCTGATGTCTTATAGCTTAGGAGCAAGATTTAAAACAATCATTTTTTTATAATACAAAAAGAAAAAAAAAAATTCCTGTAGTACAGAAGAACAGGATCTAAAAATAGGAACTTTAAAGTAGTTTTCAGAATATTTATTCTAAGATAATTATGCTCATTTTAGAAAGTTTAGAAAACTCCAATGAAATGAAAATCTTACCACCTGAATAACTTAATATTTTTTGCCATAATTTTATTGATAAACAAATAGCAATGAGACAGTTTCAAATCAAATCGGTAGGACAGTTTCAATAATTAACATACTGCATACATTCTTCTTAGTGGTTAAGTGCTGAACAAGATGCAGACTTGATATCCTATTTACAAATACCATTAGAACAAATCATTCTATTCATTAAGAGAATGTAGCTATATATCTATCCTAACCACTTTGAATACACAGATACAAAATGGACATTCATCTGTATACCCTTTTTTTGTTAAGTTCCTTTATTTGAATATTGTAGGTGTGTAAACTCAGCAAAATATTCTAAAAGAGTCCAGTAGCCCATAATAGTATTGGGTCTTCTGCTTCACTGGCAATGTCAGAAACTGTTGACCTGAGTCCCCTACAGCTCAACATAATACCATGGCTTTACTTCTTGTATTTCATTTTTATACTTTTCTGCTGGATGGTTAAGACCAAGGTAAAGCAGGACCTGTGCAACAAGAGTTGTAGCTTTTGGGTCTGATAAGGTCAGTGAAATCCCCTCAGGATTTATCCTGCGATCCTGTACCTCAGATTGTAGAACCTTTGTCAGTGTCAGCCATGTGGATGAGTCACAGCCATTGCTTGGTCAATGTTCTCTCTGTGAAAGCCTGAGAGAATGTTTTCTCCCCATGTGACTCTCCTTAGGCACACTCTACATCATTGATCACTTTCCTCTTTGGCCCTATAATCTTCTTGATTGAATAACTTAATATTGATGTACATAAATTTTGTATTTGTGAGGGGCTATAGGGGGGTAACCAGGAATTGAACTCAGGACCTTGTGCTTGCCAAGCAAGTTCAGTGCTGCTGAGCTGTATCCCATAATAGTCTTTTTTCCAAATAAAATTGTTTTTACTTCATAAAATATGGAAATATTCCTTGATTTTATATTATTTTTATACAACTTCATCCTTTTTTATTTTAGTGGAAATACAGTAGTCCATGTAGAAGTACAATAATTTATTAACTTGTCAATAGTATTTTTGCTCTTGACAAAACACTGTTATAACAAAATCTTGCAGTATATCTTTGCATGTATTTTCTTTAAGATAAATTCTTAAAAGTAGAATTGCTGTTAAAATACATTCAGAATATTAAAATGTTTCTGTGTTGCCGGATTGATTGTCTTCCAGAAAGGGTATAATAACTGCATATATTCAGTAGTAATATTCCTGAACTGCTCTTGTCTTTAGTAATACTAGCTCTTACAAATTTTTTAATCTTTAAAAAATGAGCTTATTTTGCTCTGTATAACTTTGTTTTCTAACTTGTTAACTGTTATTTTTCTAAATCATTTACATATTTAATTATGAAATATTTTATTTTTTATTTTTATTTTTTTAAATTGAGAAATATGAATGAGACAGTTTCAAAGCTGATTAATAGGATAGTTTCGATAATCAATACTTTGTATGTTATCTTCTTAGTGATTATCCATAGTACAAGAAGCAGCTAGGATTTCCTGTCCAAACACTATTAGTATACCTCTTTCTTCTCATTGAATTAAGCGAAAGTAGCTGTAAATTTATCCTATTTTGTATATATAAATACAAAATGATCTTTCCTTTGTATCCTTTTTTTTTTTTTTTTTTTTTGTCCTGTCAGAGGTGGATATTCTATTGGCATCTAAATACCATAGGTGTTTGAATTCAGCTAAAAAAGCCAACACTGTCTAGCAGTCTATAATATTAGTGGGTTATCCTCAGAAGTTATTGACTTGAGCCCTTTACAGCTCATCGTATTAATATGGCTTTACTTTATATACCTCGTTTTTATACTTTTCTGCTGTGAAGTATTTAAAAAGAATAGAAAATAATACAGAAGCCATTGTTTTTATATTCTCATTTAGAGTTCAGTTGCCATCTTCCTAAAGTAGACACTTGTCTTTAAACTCTTAATTGTTGTCTGTGCCTCAGTTACTTTTGATGTTGCTAAGAGAAAAATATCCAATACCTAAAGTTAAAGGAGAAAAATTTTATTTAGGCTAAAAGTAAAACTTAGATATGTTAGTCCATAATCAGCTGGCTCCAAAGCAGGATGGCATAGCAAAGGGGAATCACAGAGGAGAAAAAAAACAGTTCATGACATGAAAGGCAGAAGGCAGCAAAAACAGCAAGCAGGAAGTGACAGCAGCAGCCCTCTTTCTGTCCTTTATCTTCTGTATAGGCTCCACACCCTTAGGGCAGGTAGCACTCACACCACTTACTCCCATATCCATGCCCAGAACTATGTCAAACCAATTAGTGGACTAATTTAGTAATGACACACCCTTGATCCCAGGATCACACACTCTAGGTCCAGCCACGTCTGGAAAACTTCACCTGTGACCACATAAGGATTTGGGGGACATCTAGATACAAGCCATCACAGTCTTTATTTCAACCCTTTTTTCTTTTTGATAGTTTAGATTAGCTGAATATTGAATTCTGAATTAGTTATTTCTTTTACCTGAACAGCATAAACATATTATTCCATTGAAATCCTACATTGGTCTTTTGTTTGGTTTCTGTTTAAGATTGTGTGTGTCTATGCACACGTGCTACATTTATTAGCTTATTGAATCTATAAATCATATCTTTACTCAATTCTGGAAATTTTTCAGCTGTTCTTCTTGGATTCAGTTTTCAGTACCACTACCACCATCACAACCAAAACAAAAGCAAGAATTTTCAAACCAGTGATGGACTTAAATTTCACTGGTGGACTTCTCTGTAATAAAATAGGTGTGCTGTAAGTTTCCCAGTGTTCTATAGAGCATAAAGTAGAGAACAGAGGACTAGGTAGTTATATATACTTCCAATAACGTTCTTTTTTTTTAAATTTTTTTTATTTATTTGTGTGTGTGTGTGTGTGGCCAGCTCAGCTCACCAGGGGGCGGGGCTGGCTGGCATGTGGTGCTGGGGATTGAACCAGGGTCCCTATGCTTTGCTAAGCTTGTTCTAAGTAGGTGCTTTAGACCACTGAGCCATCTCACCAGCCCCTCCAATAACATTCTTAAAGGAGAAAAAAGTGTTTCAGTCATTTTGAAGTACCTCTGTCAACTCTAATCAAGGGAGTATCTTGGACAATATTGTGCCCACCTTTTAAACTTCCCACGACATGGTCTTTTCTCTCAAGAGGCTTCTCATTTTCCTATAGTGGGCACCAGAATACTGCCTTTTTCAAAGTGAAAGCCTAATCAAAACAATACAATAAGAGAAGCCTGGAGCTTATTTTCACTGTGTGTGTGTGTGTGTGTGTGTGTGTGCGCGCGCGCGCGCGCGCGCGCACCAAGGTAGACTTCTCATAAATACCTTATCACTGTAGTTACCATCACTGAGTTTGTGACTAGATGAATGTTCATCATCAGTTTTGTCTGCCTGGTCTCCATCCTATTCATAGTGCCATATTATGTAGGTGAAATCTAAGATGTTTCTTATTTATTTTTTAATTCTTTTGTATGTATTTAGTACAGGATCTACAGAGTCTCACTACACAGATTGTAGTGAGACTTGTAGTGATCCTCCTGTTTTCAGCCTCCCAAGCGCTGGGATTACAGGTGTGAGTCACCATGCCCAGTCTCAATGGTTGCGTAAGTGCGCCCCTTGGGCAGGGGCGGCACCACACACTAGGGATCCAACCCCAGTTCCTGCATCTACCGAAGCAGGCGCTTTAGTCCGCTGAGCTATCTGGCCAGCCCTGTAACATGTTTCTTTTTGTAGTAGTCATTTTTGAGCCAAGTGTGGTGGCACATGCCTGCAATCCCTTCACTTGGGAGGAGGCTAAGGCAGGAGGATCACTGCAAGTTTGAGGCAAGCCTGGCTAGAAAGTGAGTTTAAGACCAGCCTGAACTGTAGAGCAAGACCCTGCCTCAAAAACAACCAAAAAAAAAAAGTCACTTTTAAATGTTTTGAGCACTTAGTTCTAATTTGATTAGTATGCATTTAGCTAAGAATCTCAGAATCCTAAAATGGAAAAAAAAAAAAAAAAAGTTATTGCATAACAGTATCTTTTAAAAGATACTTAGGTAGTATTACATTTTTTCAAATATCTTAGTATTAAATGTTATTCATTTATTTGGAATACTCCAGAATCATGCCCGATATTATCTTTGTATATATGCATTTTATAATTGTAAATCTATATTTTGTGTGCTTTTCTTTCTCTTAAATTCCTATACAGGTTTCCTTCTGTTGACATAGACAGTATATTTACAGTCCTTAATATCTATAAAATATTGGAATACTGTCAAATTGAAATGTAGTTTTGAAGCCATATTCATTTCATTGGGCAATTGAGTTTTTCAAACTTTTTGTAACATTATAAGGGATATTGATATCATTACATAAATTTTTTTTCTTTATTTCCTTGGACTGTGTTCCCACGGGTGGGACTACAAAATCATAATATATAACTCATATCCCAAATTCTGTGTGACAGGCACTTTCTAACCTTTTTGTCTTCTAAATATTAGGTACAGGAGCTCCATGAGGAGGAGGCACAGTGGGTGAACTATGATGAGGACGAGTTGTGTGTGAAGATGCAGCTGGCTGATGGTATCTTTGAGACTTTGATCAGAGATACTATTGATGTCCTAAATCAGATCAGTGAAAAACAGGGGAGAATGCTACTTGTGTGACATCTTGCAAATAAATTGAACACTGAGTGTTAATATGAGTCCTGGGCCTTTCTGCCTCCTGACGTACACCCCACGTCCATCATAGCAAGAGTGCTTCCGGACCTTGTAACTGTTCTTATGGACTGCTGATTTTGGAGTTCATGGGACAATGCCGTATATCTGATAATACAGCCTTTGCCTTTAGACTGTCCACTGAATTACTTGGTTATTTTCAGTGGGCAGGGTTATACTTCTGATGTTGAGACAGTATAATTCTACATCTCTTGATAGCACTCCTTCTAGGTCTCAGATGGGAGCTCAGCACAGCAGACTTAGCCTCCATGCTTAGACTAGGGTATCACTTCCTTGAGTGTGAAGTCAACCCAGAGTGATATAGCGATAATTTATCATATAATTTTTTATCATATAATTTTTGAAATGTAATCTGGGTCTATGCCACGAAAGTCATAAATGAACATTATAATTTTTAAACAGTATTAAACCCTTAATCACTTTAAAATATGCAGGTTTAATGCCTGTTTCACATTCTGGAGTTGATTTCATTTCTTTTTGAAGACTATTTTCTTCTATTAGTGCAGTGCAGCAGCACCAAGCAGACTGTCAAATTAACAGAAATAAATGATAGCCTTGCTTTCTGAGCACCACCTAAAGAACTGTAAACCTTTGCATTATGTTTAGTTTTCCTGTCTGGGCATGAATATAAATGCCCCCACTGAAGACTGGGCTTAAAGGACTGCTGCAGGGCTGATTCCTCTACCCCTTGTATTACCCCTGCACTTTTCTTCCTCGTCCTGAACCTCTATAAGCTGCTCCCAGAATCACAGATACTCAGGACCATCTCAGGCATCCAGGCATGGCAAACATGGAAATAATTCATTTTGGCCTTCAAACTTTCAGCTCCCATCTCTCCCCAGGAAGTCAGAGATGCTGTTACTTGAATGATTTAGGAAATGAGTGTGTGCACCAAAGACAAAAAGATATTGTCTATAGTTTGTGTGCTTGTTTTACTCTATGGAACATTTTTTATTTATTTTAACATAAATTATTAAGTTGAAAATGTGTATCCCTATTCAGAAGTAAAAGATTCTTATAATAGTTAAACCTCCATCTTGAAGCTTCTGTGGTTTGCACAGGAAACCTATGGTTTTAACAAACCCATACACATATTGAAGAAGTTAGTTAAATTCAGTGGAAAGAGAATGAGCTTTTCAAGATCACTTGCAATGGCAGGAATGGGAGAAAATGATTCAAAGACACTGTAAAGTTTAATCTTGCCTCTCTTGCAGCATTGCTTCTTACAACTATTACCTAATCTGAAGGAAAAAAAAAAAAAAAAAAAAAGTCTATAGACTCCAGCTGCTACACTAGAGCATGAGATGCTCTTCTGGGACCTCAGTAACTGCCTTCCTGACTGGTTTCTCTTAATCAGTCCTATCCCTCTTCTCATAGTCCAGAAAAATGTGGATAATCATAGGCGTGAATGTAAATGCCTTAATCTTAAAGGTCCAGATCAGAAGCATAATGTGAGACATCCACTGGATTTATAGTTACAATATTCTGGAATGTTGTAGTTTCAAAATATGTTAGACAACCCCAAAGATGGTATAATCTAAGTGTGCATGTTTATTTCCACATCTTTCCTTCAAACTTGCCTTTGCATCTTAAATGTTTCACTATGCACACTTCCATTCATCTTCTGTTCATCCTGTCATAAGAAACTCACTGAAATAATCATTGGAATATTTGCATTTTGCACAATGACTGGTGTGATAGCTCTTGACAAATGTAGAAAGCACTGAAATGTTGAGTCTCAGGAAATGCTATTTTGATGTATTTCCAGCATTTCTTCTGGGCCTTTATTGTTGAGCTATATAGTCTTGTAGCCATAATGAGCAAATTGACTAAAAGAAGCAAAGGTTTCTCGGGGTTATTAACCAGTAGTGTGGAAATAATTGTTTTCATATGGCCAAGGAAAAGCAAAGACTTGTGTTTTTTGGTTTATGTTCTTTGGAAGACAGAAATACATCTTGTCCACATCCTTTTGGTAATTTTTTTGGATCACATTGTCCTTATGATAGTGAAACTTTACAGTTGCTGTAAATTTTTTATAAGTGAATATCAAAATACTATAATAGGAATATGGGTTGCTTTTCTACATCCTCATTATTTTAATCTAAAACCAATTTTTAGTAAGAAAATTTATCTTTACTCTTTATGACATCATGATTCCAGAGAAGGAAAACATATTCATTATAAGACCATGAAATCAGCAATCTGGACTGGTAAGAATGCTGCCAGTAGTGTGGCAGTAGCCATCCCAGCCTACTCCAGCTGTCTTTGCTAAGATACTGGATTCCAGATGAGAGGCAGTAAAAGACCAGTCTTACTCTTTGTCAGAAATGTCAACCATAGTTTGTAGCAAAAACAAAACGAAGACATGTGTAGTAACAATTTTCTTATTTTAACTGTGGGGATCTAATTAAAATATATTTGTTAATAGGTTTAGAAATAAATATAATACTGAACCACTTTTCCATACTGGGATCTTTTTAATCAAACTCTGCCTCTTAACCGAAGAACCTATATATTTCCTCTTTCTATCTTCTCCCTACACCCCATCATTTCAGTCTGTCTTCATAATTCTTTAAGAAAAAGATCTTTGCATCAGCAGTAATATCTTTTAGAACAGCATTGTCAGAATTTAGTAGTAAACCAACATATAGGCTTCAGATTTAATTCTGAGTCTAAACAATTTGTGCTATCCAGGGCAGTTAACTCTGGGTTAAACAAGTACAGGGTATAGATTCCCTCTTCAGGTCTAAACAGGAATTTTTACTCTAGGGAAAAGTGGGAAGAGCTCAAAAGTAGTTAATAAGGAAGGTAATTTTTTCTTTACCCAGAAGAAAAGAAAATTCCTTCTGTGACTACAGGTCTCTGAGAAATTATCTTTCAAAAGAGATTTCATTGCTCATAAGAGTGTTGTGGCCTATTGATAAAAACAATTTTGTTCACTTTCTTGTCTTGAAAAAAAGTGGCCTTAGCTTTTTGCAATACTTGAATAAAGTGTGTACTCGCAAAAGAATTTCTGTAGCACAGCATTAGAGACTTAATTTTCTGCAAGAAATTCAGACTTACATCTTCCTTTTACTACCTTAAGAATACTAGTGAATAAATATTAACTCAAAGAGCAAGAGATAGAAACTACAATGATGTTTAATGCAAATTGTAGGAATTTACATGTTTACAAATCATCTTAAACTGGTTGTGCAGCAATTCAATAAAATATCTTTGTATTATAAAAATGTGAAGAAAAATGTAAACTGATGTAAAGGTGGTACTGTCATTTTAATTAACCTTGTTTAATAGCTTTTCCTTCTGGACTTTGCAAAGCCTTCTTGGTAAACACATTGCAAAGCATTCTCTAGGAGGCTTAGCCTCCTTGTGTGTACTGTACTGTGCAGACATGAAAAACAAACCCGTTTACTGTGTATGTGTAAATAGCCTGGTCATCTGGCCATTTTCAGCCAATAGTCACATCCAGTGCAGCTCTGCACAGAAGACTTAGGGTGTGGTTTGTAAGTATGATCTGTAAAATAACTGGGATAAATTCCCATGTATACCTGTGTAAATAGATTTGTTAACTAAAATGTACTTTAAGAAAAATAAATCTGTAAATAAAAACTGATTTATAAATTAATTTTGTGTCACATGGTCATTTTTATACTCGAGTTCTCATAAAGTGCAATTATTTCTGATTCTTATTTGATGGAAGGGCGCTAGCTGTGCATAACTTCTGCTTACCCTGCATACAGGTGCCACCAACACATCAGTGCTGCCTTCATATTCTTAACTTTGTGCTCAGCAGAGGGTAAGTGGATAGCAAAGGAGACACACATGGTTCATGAATTTATGTAGCTTAAAGTCAAAGGGAGTCACCAAAACATAATTTGAGCATGCCTAGTATGCTCCAGACCTCCTACTTGGGACCTGGGGGTTTCATCCCCCAGCTGCAACAAGAAAAAGAAGCAGAGGAGAAACAAAAAAGAATCTGGAAAGTAGTGCGCAACAAGTGGTAGCAAGTGCTGCAAAGAAAGCGCAGACAGGATTAGAGAACACTAAGCAGGGTCGGGTCAGAAAAGAGTTTATGATATAGCTTTGTCTTCCTTACACATTTTTTAAGATGAGGGTCTCTGTTGCCCAGGCCAACTTCAAATTTCTGTGTTCATTTATCCTCCTGCTTCAGCCTCCTAAGGTAGCTGCAATTACAGGCATGCAATACTGCCCTCACTTAGAATTTTGTTTTGAACATTGATGGGCTAACTTATGGCAGGTAGGTGGCCATTTCTCCCAAATGACTTGAATTTGTTGACCCTTGCAAAATGGTACGTATAAAAAAGTCAAAGAAGCAGACCACAAAGAAGATAAGTCATCTGATGATGTGTAGAGATTTTTTTTTCCCCCTCTAGGAAAAAGGAGCTTGGAGAGTAGTCCTCTGTGTAGCAGAATAAAAATTTCAAGGATAGAAATGTATGGCACTCAGGATAATAAATCGGACATGGTCAACAGGTGAGAGGTATCTCACCTAAATTCTAGTTAACTCCTGAGGGCCACATCTACTACACTTTAATCCCTTACTTGGCTGTGAGCATTAAGGAAATTCTCAGAAAGTTGTTGAGAACAAATTGCAGTACATTCTAAATATTCTTCAGCTCATAAAAGTCATTTGTGTGTCTGCTGTATGCCAGATATCATAGATACTCCTTCATAATGTTCGAATCTTGAAAAAAAAAAAAAAAAGTATCTAAGAAAATAGGGAGGGATGGGAATTTAGCTCAGTGGCACAAGCACCTGCCTGGAAAGTGAAAGGCTGTGAGTTCAATTCCTGATTTTAAAAAAAACCTTCAAACTACAAGAAAATGGTAGATGAGAAAATGACGGTTGTCAAAAATGGTGAGACTAACATTGATGAAAAGTGTAATTATTTACCAAAGTGAATACAAAGGAAAAGTCATTCTCCTATACAATCCCAAAGAACTTTTGACTTAAAGATACTGGCTACACACACACACACACACACACACACACACACACACTCAGAAGTTATTTTCATATCTGGGTGGCCAAAGTCAACAGGCAGATAAGTCCTTATCAGGGAAGAGATTAGGACATGATTTAGAGTCACCCAAAATAAATAACCTACAATGTTTATTTAAAGGCGGAAGAGTGAGAATGTCCTAGATCCAGCTTTTGCAAAACCTTGGCCCCCCACAGTAAATGCACTCTGTCCAGTGTGAGCGTCCTGACTGCAAGTGCCCCGCTCATGCTACAAGGGAAGGACCTCCCTCTGCCATGGAATCTGAAAGCCAGGGACCATGCTGAGGGCCACTGACAGGAGTGTAAGCAGAATGAGGGGCACCCTGAGTTGTGCACAAGGCAAGTTATTGAGGTAATAAGCCCAGTGCAGGATGAGGACTCTTCTGGATCCAAAGCTTGTTCTTGTGTGACCATGCAGGAGCACAAAGTTGTGCATAACTGCTTTTCCCCTAGAGTCTACCCCCAGCTGAAGTAGACACACAGTGTAACAAATTCAGGAAGACAAATGCAGAGAGAGAGCCCAGTCCATTGGGGCTTGAACAACCTTCAGGATGCAATTTGCTGGCAGACTTCTATTCACTTTGAGACATTTACTAAGATCACTGAAAGAACCAGACCTAAGCAGATGATCAGGCCTCCCTGGAGGATGGCCTTTAGCCAGGAACCCCACAGTGCTTGAATTAGGACACCTGAAGTTTAAAAAAAGTGTTGGGGACACGTCTGGGTATACAGCTGATAACTGCCACATCTGAGCATGGGTCGCCAATTCTGTGTTCTTTGATGGTTAATATGCACACAGTACCAGGTGTCACATAACACCAGTTTCTTGTTCTGTTCTGCCAGCAAGAAACTAAAGGTTACTGTGTTGTCCTTTGCCACCTTATCTAGTGAGTTTAGTGTGTCTTGTTCGTCTTGAGGAAATGCCAATCTATTGGGTGTGGGCCAAGCTATTACAAGGGGAACGTGGGCTGAGAAGGACAAATGCAGCATTGTGTGAGTTTGCCTCCTCTCACCACAGCTGTGCTCATTCTTACCAGGGTGTTGCCACACAGTCACAGCAGAGGCTTCTGTAAGAATGAGAAGACAAGTTAACATACCCCCTGCCATGGTCCCCCAAACCCTGCCGTGAAACTCCATAGGCTGGAGATGCTCTTGTCTGCTATTTTCTTGGGGTTCCTCTGCCTGTTACCTCACTCAAACCTTTCTACCTCAATCAACTAGTCACACAACCTGAGGAGGAAAGCTATATCTTAAATGCACATAACATAGCCCATAGCATCACCTACTCACGTTGAGGAGCTGAGAGTCTTAGGTGACAAGAACTCTGGTACCCCAGTATTCTATTGACTTTTTTTCCATGCCCCAGGATCCTACAGGAGGGGGTGCATGAGGGTACCATTGCCTCCAGGCTTGAACTAGACCTAGTGGGGGCACAGCTGCAGCCCAGACCACAACCCCCTGGGGAATCTGTTCTGCTGAGAGAAAAGAAAAAAGAAAGGTTGGATGTGCTGAGATTAAAATTCTTTTGACACAGGTCTAACCAGTGACCATCTGCTCCTCCAACCTCTCCAAGTCTGTCTTACGTGATGGGAGTAATCTTGTGTTTCCTTTCTGCTAGGAGTGCCTTAAGGTTTAGATGGCTTTTGTTAGGTAAGAAGCATCAGTGAGTGGGCTGGGGGAGTGGTTTGGCTTGGTTTGGTTTGGTTTCAGGTTTTGTTTGGTTTTTGTTGCACTGAGGATTGAAGCCAGAACCTTTGTCCTAAATTGCATCCCCAGCATTTTTTTTTTCCCCAGGCTGAACTTGAATCTTGCAATCCTCCTGCTCCCAGAGTGCTGGGATTACAGGTGTGCACCAACACACCCAATTTAGATTTTTTTGGATGATCTTTGTATAGTTCTTATTTGAACCTCACATTTCATCATTTTATCTCCTTGTTGGTTTGGGAGGGACAGCATGAAAAGTCCATCCTAGGTGATGGGAACTTGTCCATTGTGGTGTTGCCTGGACTATCATGTGGTGTCTTGCTCAGATTGGAATCCTTCTATATACTTAAACATTATAGGGCCGGGGAGATGGCTCAGTAGAATAAGCGCTTCCCGGGCAAGCGCAAGGGCTTGAGTTCAATTCCTGGTTCCACCAAAAAAAAATATAATAATAAACATTATAGGCTAGGGAGACAGCTTAAGCACCTGCCTGGCAAGCACAAGGTCCTGAGTTCAATTCCCTGTGCCAAAAAATTGTGATAAAGGTTTTTTAAACCAGGTTTTTGATATCTTTATGCATAAATTAATATAATAATGGTCAGTTTGAATGTTACATGTATAATAAAATAGATTATTAAAAAAGTAAATTCAATCTACTATGGATTTCCATTATTAACTCAATTCTACCCTCTGAACGGATGAATTTTATCTACAAGTTCTCAGTTAGGTGTAGTTCCTTAGTGCTTCCTTCCATGATCCAAGGGGTAAACAAAATTCTTTGAAACCAGAAACTGAAACTAGACCTCTTAAGATCGAGAATAGGCAAGACTGGAAAAAAGGACACTGTCATACCCAATCCCACTGGTTTCTGTGGTCCAAATGACACACTAGCACTGTGCCGTATGCTTGACTTCAGAGCAGTGTAGCACTAGCACTGTGCCGTATGCTTGACTTCAATCCGCAGGCATATCTCCTGTCACATCTCAAATGCCCACAACTGCTATATTTTATTTATTCCCTACCACATAGAGAAGAGGAACCAGTCTCAACAATATATGAATATTTCTGAATGTTTAATACTAAGGATTGATTTTTTAAAAGAACAAGTAGGAAGAAGTTATTAGCTAACCAGTAACTAGAATGCACGTGCAAGGAGCCACTGGACCTATAAAACCATGTACATCTTTTTTTTTTTATCTAAAGAGAATAGAAAAATAGTAAAAAAAAAAATTAGAAAATATACAGACCTTCACCAAACAAAACAATAGGAATTCTACAATGGTTACTATATTGCACAATGTTGTCTTCAAATTGGTTGTTCATATTACCAGATATGAGCATATAAAATTGGTTTTAAAATGTTACAAGAAATTAAAAAAGGGGATGTCAGGATAGCTCAGTGGACTAAGCACCTGCTTAGGCAAACTCAGGGACCAGGGTTCAATCCCCAGCACCACATGCCTCACCAACCCTACCCACAGGCACACTAGGCTGGCCACCAAATGCGGGCGTGGTGGTGCATACTTGTCATCCCAGCACTGAGGAAGCTGAAAACAGGAGAATCACTATGAGTCTGAGCTGCATAGTGAGATCCTATACCAAATACATAAAAATAAATAAATAAATATAAAAATAAAAAGATATTTAAAAGGACAAGAAAATAATTAAGTGTCAACTTCTCCCTTCTATATACCAGCAGAAATCAGAAATCAACAATAAAATAATCCAAGCCATCCTGCTCACGTACATAAATACATCTCCCCCTGCCCACCACTCCTTTTTCCTCATTCCCAGTTTTTCCTTCCCTTTGAACAGATCCTTTTCCTTTCACAGTATCTATTGTACCTTTCAGATTTTATTTACTCCTTCAGGTTCTTATACTAAGACAACATGATGTTT